GATCCGAGATTTGGGTGATGATGGCGTTTGCAAGATGACCGAGCTGATTCAGAGCCAGCCCTTCCCAATCAAAGAGATACATTTGAGCCGCACTGGGAGCGGATTCGGGCGCTTGTCTCGCGAAGCGGATTCGGAGTGGATTTGCGGGCGGAAAGCCGAAGGGATGTGGATCACTGCAACCGGTTGGACAGTCACCTGGGTTGAGTGGTCCAAGCAGTTTGTAGCGTCCTTGCTCCTAGTAGGGATGCCAGGAGCCACTTGCGGCCTGGTTCTTTGGGGACCTTATTGGTGGTTACTTGAGGACGTAAAGTAATTATACCGCATGTCGATGTGTTCTACGACAAACCTAAACCCTTTGCCATAGAGTCATAGCATGTCATAGCATGTCCCAGCCATAGCCACATACTACCCCCAAAATCCGCCAAGGATGTCCGATGCTTCTTAAGTACACGGTCAAGGGCGCTTGGTATATTTATCACATGTTGTTTAACTTTTTTGTAGGAAGGATCGAGTGGGTGATTTCGCTCAAGCTCCCAGACATCCCCTCCCGGTGACAGTTCCTCGCAGGATATCCGAGATGGGTGCTGCGACGCTAATCCTGGCCGTCTTGGCCAGCGACAAATATCCATTTCAAACCAATGGGCATTGGACGCTTGTGCGGCATGTACAAACATCGATCAGCCCTGAACCGTGGTGTTTGAACGGCATTTGTGGATTTTTAGCGGAACTTTTGAATGTTCTTGGTGGTTGGCATGCGTTTTCCATGGATCTCCATGGTTCATCGGTTCATCACCAGAATTCAATGAATCGCTTGGAAACTTGGTCATCTTGGCCTTGAGGACTGGTTGCTGGATCCGTTGGCGCCCTAGCCGGCGAGAACCGACACAGGTCCTTCCGGCAAATTCCGAGGCAGAATGTGATATCTGTCTCAGATCATGTGATATAGCTCCGTCACACTCCACTCTATGATCCAAATTTTCGTCCGCTCATTGTTTTCCTCTCCAGGTCCCCAGCCATCTCCGATCCTAAGACCGCCGTTGTGGTGCTCAAGAATCGTGTTTTTCCGAGCGAGCCGGTCCGAACCGCGAGGTTTAGACAAGAACAGCATCCACGCGCCCAATGCCTTGATCACGGCCATGGAGGCCACCCAGATGAAGAAGCGCCACGTGGGCTGTGTTCGCACAGTGGCCGCTCGGTTGGGAAGGAAACAATCGTCAACTGCTGGGGCTGAGCTTGGCTGTGTGTGGTGAGAGGCCGGTGCTTAAAGCAGAGTTAGAGGTATCAGAAATGCAGTGAAGATCCAATGCCCGTGCATAAAAGCAAGATGAAGCAAAAAGCTTAAGTTAATTGAAGGGCAGCTGCTGTGCATCGACGGGTCAGGCCAATTACAGCCTGCGTTTGCTTGTGGGTTTGAGCACACATCACGACCCAATTTGTTTCTTTTGAGCCATGCTGATTGTATAGATTGGAGTGCGTGTGAAGAAGAATCGCATGACTAAGCCCAATAGGGGGAAGATTCGACATGCTTTGGACGTGTTCTCAAGCACTTATCGCAAACAACACGCTGCGGTCTTGAGTTCCGTACATGACATGGCAAAGCACACCTTCCAACCATTTCTTCTCGGCACAGGGGTTCTCCAGTTGATAGCCACACATAGCCACACACTCTTCAAAAACGTTACAGTAAACTTCAACTATGGCAACTATGGAAGTCTGGAAGTCTCAACTCATTTGGCAAATCTGTTCCCACCCGCCTGAGGGGTCGGTCCCATCACCTCCCCATCGTCCATCGCATCCGGAGACGTTCCCCAGGTGCGCGGAGACCGCGAGTGGACGCGCTTCCGGAGTCCTGGCTGGGCCAACTCCCGCGAGGTGCGGTCGACGGACGTGGCGACGTGGAGAGGATCGGTCGTGTTTTTGTTTTGGCTCCGTGATGTAGCGAACCTTGCTACTGGTAGTAATGACAGGAGCTACGTTCGTAGCGATGCTGTTACTCGTAGCTTCTAGCTCATTCTAGTTTTATGTGTGTCTATTCTTCTCTCCTGAACGGGCCCATTGAGCTGAAGGTGCGGCCCAAGGTGTTATGCCAACAAAACGAGAGGCTTGACTCCAGGGGTCGTTTCAGCATCTCCGGGATGAGTTGCCGTCGAGTTCATGTCTCCAACGATGGAACGATGCAGGTCACTCCGGCAGTGCTTTTGCGACTTGGCCAAGAACCTGCAGTGCATCACTTGCTGAAGGGCATGTTGGCCTTCTTTGTTTGGTAATGATGTTGAGGGATCATATGAGCTCAGACATCTCACTTCTGTATAATGATCCCCGTGTTCCGACCTGTGGCTTGGCTTCCTCATTGAACTGGTTGGAAGACGGACTCAGCCACGTCAAACGAAGGGCCAAGCCTCACCAAGCCATTTGAAAACCATAGATGTTGTCGTGCGTAGCTGTTGTGCTCCCTTAGTTCGTTGATGTGGAGGGGCACTCTCCCATGTGTTCTCACGATGAGTTGGGTTCGCAAACCTCATTCATGAGGGATCGCTTCATGATGGCCGCAACTGCCATGCAAAATCAGGAACGTTTTGCAGTGGACACAAGGCCCCTCCCCACTTCAAGCATGCCGCAACGAAGATGAACCCAGCATCATCCATAATTATGGCGCCAAGCAAGTGATTGATACTTGCTCAGCCCAATATTTGCCTTTGGTGTTGGCAAAACTCCCCAAATGTTGCTGCACCAGAAACATGAAAGTCACACCTTAGGTCACACCGGGTATCCAATTCCATGTTTGATTTGTGATTTCCATGTTCAATGTTCACATTCATTTTGGAAGAAGTGCCCATTCCCTGCTTTTGAACCCTTGAGGTATTTGTTGAACGAGCAGTCTGGCCAATTTGGGGCCGTGGGCTCGATCAAGGACCCTTCAATGTGCGTTGGATGCGTCGTGGAACCGTGGTGATTGGGAGGCTTTGGGTTGGGTGAACATGGGTTGCCCACAAAAGGAGTTCACCTTGGGGATTCTGGGAGTGAATCCAATGCGCCAATGGACGGCACAGTGCATGCACCAGTCTGTTGGGGCCAACGTTGCGGGTGGTTGGAGGGTCTGGGGGTCGGGGCAACCATTGCTTTGAGCATATTTGAGCAAATCAATTGGACGTTTTATCGAAAAAACATCCAGATTTCGCAGGAAGATCTCAGGATTCTCAAGGCTTTTGCGGTGATTCTTTGGGTTTGCTGTCTTGGGCGGCCGGCTCGAGGAGTCTGCCAGCGCGATGCGCTGCGCGCGACAAGCTGTGGCCACGGCACATCAACAACTGTTGGGCACAAGTGCAGGCATTACAGGCAGGGCCTTGTGGGGCAAGCAGGCAAACCATTGGGCACCATGGCAGCTACATCAGTGGCTTCCACCTAGCAATCACATTCACCATCACCTTTTGGCACCTCTCCACCGACACCTGGTAGTCACGCCCTACACCGCCCAGACTTCGTGGTGTTTCCCTCAGCACAGGCGACGCCTTAGCTGAAGACGCGGAGCCAGAAACCAGGGTGGTGGTCGCACGATGGATTCTCAGCTTAAGGGTCAAAAGGAGTTGAGAATGAGTATGGGAGTGACACTGGAGGTGACGATGGCACCCCCAGCACATAGAAAACCAAGGGCAAAGCACCACCGTTTCTATTCCGTCATGCAGGGGGGACCTGTTCATTGTCAGACACATTCTTATTGGAAGCAGCAATTGAGCAGTCGTGATTTCAAGTCACCTGCGGAAACATCTCACATAGAAAGGGCTGCAGTGATTTGCCGCAATGATCCGCAAGGTAATTATATGTATATATATATATATATCTAAGTATATGTATACATAATTATACATATACATGTGTATACATTTTTATATATATTCAGTAAGTCCAGTTTGCTGCTATTCTTTTTATATTCGGTTGATTGTGACGGTGCCGTGCTGATGAAAGATGGCTTCTCCCGAGCTTCGACCGAGCTTCCACCGATGAGACGCACAGCTCTGGGAAACGCAGAACGAATGGACATGCATACAATATAAACACACATCATGATCTGTACTAGACTAGTGTATGGTATTTTGTATTTATTGCCATATGAATAATGTATCACTCATGGCCTCCCTCTTTTTGAAGGTGTGTCATGTGCGCCATTCAATCGAACGGTCTTCGACCTCCGACCCGGGGCACGAACAGAACACCCCGGAACACTAAGGGCTCGCAAGGAGAAGGGCAACGTGACCAAGGAAGCAAGGCCGGCATCGGATCCACCATCTCCCCAGCCCTTCCTCCCCGGCAGGCATCCCCAAGATCAGTTGTACGGAGTCTCTTTAGGACCCAGCGGCCCGTGTTGCAGATGTGAGGTCATGACAAGACAGGATCTTGCACACTCATCCAGGGTCGAACAGACACAGGAGCAAGTAGAAAATTGAAACAGGAAAGATCCACATTTGAAGAAGATATCTACCGATTTTAATGATAAAACCGGGATTGTTGAAGGTTGTTCTGACCATGTCGCATCATCAGGCCTGATGGTGCTGCTGCTACGTCTTCGCAGGCTGGGCGATCCAGAAACTGTGCACAGAATACATAATAATAACAATATTATGTATACACAGTAATGTCAACAAATTTAGTATATATATATAATGATATGGTACTACGTGCATATTTGAATCAATTTGTTCTATACGTTTAGGTTTTTTGCACACCTGTTTGCAGCAAGACTCCAGCCCAAAGACTGGGTTCCTTCCCTTCTGCCGCATAGGAAGCGTTTGAAGACCTCACAGCACGTCACGGCTGAAGTGTAAGGGCTCTAGAGTCAGAAATCAAATCGACAGCAGGTCCAGGCCACATGTTCTGTGGGCCTTCGTGGGCTCTCGAGAAGTTACAGTACATTCTGATTGTGCCTCCCAGCAGGAAGACCGACAAGTAAATGGACATAATGAGTTGGGAGGGGTCTGGTTGCTTTCTGCTTAACACCCAGCCGAGCATATCGTTGGTTGAGGAGAACCGCTCATTCATGTCCGCCGCGCTCAAATCTTTTGGCTGCAAAATGCTGCAAACCTCCGCGTTAGGTATTGATCCTGCTCGACCTTTGCAAAACCCTCTCTGTTGCGTTGCGGTTGTGCAATGTCACTCGCTGTGGCCCTTTGGGTGATACTTGTCGCCGTGATCACTGCGCTTGTCGTTGTCTTCCTGGTCTCTGGGAAGATGGCCATAGCAGCACCCAAGCGCACGCAGAAGCTAGGACTGGGAGACGGTTGAGAAAGAATCAAATTGGCTAGGATGGGTATAAGTCACGATTGCTTAAGAGCTGGTATAGTAACCTCCCAGTGACCCTTGAATGGACTTTATTCAAGGTAAACAAATGCTGATTGGAGTTCCATCAGCCACCATTTGTGAGGTGCTGATTCTGAGCTTTTTGGCGGGGTGCCTTCTGGAGCTACACTCACAACCCTCTACGGCCCGTTGTTTTGCAGGAGATCCCACTTACAACATCAAGTCGATGTCCACGCCCGTGGCCACCGGAACTCTGTTGCGACTTTTGGCCTGGATTTTGGCGCTACTAGGAGCAAGGACGCTACTAAAGGCTCTTGGCCTTACTACTAGTAGCAAGAAGCTACTAGGGGCTCCTGGCATCGCTACTAGGAGCAAGAACGCTACTAAGGACTTTTAGGCTGGATTTTGGCGCTACTAGGAGCAAGGACGCTACTAGGGGCTCCTGGGGCTCCTGGCATCGCTACCAGGAGCAAGGACGCTACTAAGGACTTTTAGCCTGGATTTTGGCTGACAGTCCTCTGGGGCCTTTGATCCGAAGAGTCCTGCTGAACGATGAGAACAATGGATCCGCATTGCTGCAAGACTTGGCCCTACAAGCCTGTGACCTGTCGATGCACGCCTTGTGATCAAGTTTCTAGTGCACAAGGATCTGATAGAACGGTGAAGGGATGATCTGAACTACTGTAAGATGAACTAACGGTCAGTCAACACTACTATACAACATTATACAACACTCTCTCTCTATATATATATATTTAAATACATATAGTAGACTATAGAAAACTTCTTGACTGACTTGCAGTCAGGCCTCTAAAGGAAGCTCTTCATGGTGCCGCTCCGAGGCGATTCCCCGGGACACTTTGCATTGTACCACCCCATGCAGCGCCTGAGCAACGAGGAGCGGGCAAGGCATGTGGAGGCTGCAAAGGTGGTGGATCTCCAGAAGGTGCTCCAGAGCGGCTTTGCCACCGCAGCGGTGCCAGGCCATGGGGGCTGTCATGGCCGTGTTGGTTGAGGTATTCAAGGGTCTTCGTTCTGTCCTCCATCCACAAGGCTGCATTTTGGAAAAGTTGCCATAGGCCACAGACTTGGGCCGTGCTTGGTGTTGGCACAGAACTGATGCAAAGTGACTAGTGAGTGATGAGCCATATTCTGCTCGGAGAAGTGAGCATCTAATCGGCTTTCGCAGGGGGGGGTGGTTTAGTTGTGTAGCTCTAGGCCCCTGTCTTTCCCGCTGGAAGTGGGTTTACACGTTTTTCGCCAACCGTCCTGCTCTCGCATTGTGGTGTTGAGGGGTCTGCGACTTTCTGGCTACAGACAGCTTGTCGGCAAACTGTTGCAGGCCCCTATCTCTCGGTTGAAGATTATGCCCGAGCCTATCGCACGCAAAAGTGGACGCCCACGCAAGCGTTGGAGCGTTTGCTGCAGAGCATCAAGGAGCTTCAGCCCAAGTTCCTTGCTGAGGATTGATCATCCAACGGACTCGTCGGGTTCTAGGAGTGAGCCGATGAACAGGAAAAGGCCAGAAAAAAAAGGCCTTCATGGCAATGACAAGCAAGATGAAACAAGCCCCGTAGTACAACCGTTTAACTTTAAATCTTACAACTATATAAACATTTCAGACCATAGCCCAGTCCACCGATCCGTAGGTTTGGGCACATGAAAGAAGTTGCATCGTTCAACATGAGCCTTTTACAAGACCATGAAGAGCTTTGTTTTCTCCTCTCGTCTAAGAGCTTTGTGTCCGCTTCCGAAGACGTTTGTCCTGGCCGTTCTGCCGTTTCGCTCGCCTCGACTCCGAGGTTCAAGCCCTTCGTGGCGGTCCATGAGGAGGACGCGCGCGCGCAGGCCAAGGAGTCCGAGCGTCGGCTCCGGGCCAAGGAGCCGCGCAGCCTCTTCGAAGGCGGGGGCAGTGTGGGGGGCGGTGTGGAGATGTAAAACTCATAGGTCAAGTGAGCTGGAAACTGATTCACTGATGGAATCAGTTTGAGTTTTGGACGTGCATTGCTGGATGCTATTGTGCTAGGCACTGGAAGGAGCCTCCTGCCTTTTCAACGCGGGGAACTGTTGTAGTCACATTGTAGTCGGAAAGCTTGGAGATTCCAGTCGCTTCTAGTGATGACATGTCGTGTTTTGTGAGCCAATCAAGTGGCGAGCCGCTGATGTCAGTCATAGCCTTAGCAATAGCCAGTGTTTAATGGACCTATGCCGGTAGAGCAAATCAATAGGTGTCTACATGTGTACTTCATCAATTCACATGATACATGATATCGGACACCATGCCGGCATGCCGATCTTTCAGTGACATGATCAGACACGCATCATGCACAACAACCTGAAGCAACTCCTGCGGAGGACTTCACACAGTGAACCTACTGTCATCCTCAACTTTCAGAGCATTGGAATCCCTTCTTGGTATCGGTGGACGGTGTAAAGGGTTTGTTGGTGTTGGTAGGTCTGTGATCAACTTGCTGTTGATTGTAATTGTAATTGTAACTGTATCATGCTCGGATAGGCATTGACAAGTTTGCAGGTGATATAGAGGTTTACTGCAGCCATGCTGTGACATGCCATGACTGTCGTAGGAGTAGCTGCTTATTTCCGGCTACGGGCAATCTTGTCATATGCTTGACCTCAACAGATGCTTGCACCCCTACATCACAAGCCTTGGGAGACATGTAGTAGATATATATTTTTTTCCGCCGGTCTTCTACCTACTGCCACTGAACCAATCCAGGTGTTCCCGTCGCCATCAAGGACATGATCCGAGTGAAAGGCTACCGCATGACCGAAGGCTTCTTACGTCGTGGTTGCCGGATGTTGACATGCCACTGCTGAACAAATGTTCAAGTATGTATATTATAGCGATGGCCTCCAACTGCCTCCAACCTAATAGCAACGGCCTCCAACCTAATAGCAATGGCCTCCACCCTAAGAGTGGTGGCCTCCAACCTAATAGCATCTAATAGCAAAGGTTCAAGCATGTCCACCAATTTAAAACAAACAATGGACAAAGCGATCTGCAATAAGTGTGGCCCAGAAGCATCCCAGACTGCTGGAGTCTATTAAAACCTCATGACTCATGGCCTGCAGTGTTTGCACGAAAGCTGTTGGTATGACGAGTCCTTCAAGGCTACCCAAAGGCACATGAGAACTAGTAAGTGGCAACTAGTCCCAACTCTGTTCCTGCAAAGAATGATACAAAATTATCATAGCTCACCCCAGCCTTGTTGGACGAAGCTGAGCACTCTCAACCCGTGCAGTTCATGCTCGCTGCCTTGCAGGCTCTGTTTGGCCGGCGGGTGACGACCACAATGTCCCTGCTGAAAAGGACCGGGCTTGGCCCTTGGCCCAGCGCAATTCGGGCCAGACTGATCGCTTTAACATGTTCGTCCTGGTTCTTCAAAGCCTTTGTTTGGATTTGGTTCGTAACTTGCAGCTTGGCTTCTGGCTTAACAGGCTACCTTACAAGTCAAGAGTAACAGGTTACTTACAAGTCAAGAGAAACGGCTTGGCTTGCTAAGTGCCTGACAACCTTGCAATTCCAGTCTGAAACCCTGGCCTACTGATTGTGAAAAAGATGGCCTAGGGAGTGCACTAGGAGCAATTGACAGGAGCCATTCACCAGCGATGGCCATGACCTAGAATGGCAATAGAGTGGCGGCCAGTTGCAAGTCCAGGCCAAGCCTTTATTGTTTGAAGTCACCCCGAGAGTAAAGCAGGCCTGTGATGGATAAAGGCCCTGTGACGGTAGAAACCCCATGCAACACGCGTCAACGTTTTCAACAGGACTCGCTACTGGATACACAAGAGCAATTAGCACTACAGTATTGCACATCAATCACCTTTCTGAACCAGTTTGGCCCGCTTCCCACCCATGGGCTCATGCGGTGGTTGTTTTGGATCCAGCTTTGGAATCCAGATGTGGACATGGACGGACACCATGCCCTCAGAAGCTTTGAGGGCCACCCTGACTTTTAGGCACCTCTTCAACTCATCCAAGACCCAAAATCCACGGCAATGCTATTCGATCCCCAACCCACATAGGTGTTGTACCCCACCAAACCCCACCACCTCTAGCAGGTCTCGCCTATGCTGTGTCCAGACCGCGCAGGACAACAACATCGTGCGGCTCTTCCGCGAGGCGGGCGCCGTGATCGTGGGCACCACCGCCATGACGGAGTTCGGTGTCACGCCCCTGGGGCCGCTTGTGCAAAAGACCAAAGGGTAGGGCCAAAAGATCCAGACCGAACCTGTCAGGAGGTGCTTTGTGGTTCTTTGGTGTCCTGGGAAGTCTGACTGAGGGAAAGGATCAACTTTTGGAGTGTACAGAATACGGTACCTCACACAGCACTACTCGGGCCTCATTCCAACGCGCCTCCACGCCTTTCTCCCATCCGACGCGTCCGATGCATCCCAGGTATTCAGCACATCACCAGGGGCCCTTCAATGCCTACAACGCCAAGCACTACTCGCTGGGCTCCTCCAGTGGATCTGCCGCAGCTGTCGCTTTGGGTCTGGTCCCCGTGGCTTATGGAGCAGATGCTGGGGGGTCCATCCGGCTTCCGGCGGCGGCACAAGGCGGAGCAGTGGATTTGGCTTGGTAATTCGGGCACGTTTTCAGGAGACGCCTGCATTGATGTTTGGCGGGCTTGAGCACAAAGAATCACAATAGCCTGAACAACACTGCTGGCTATACTATATAACGACAACAAAACATGGAAGACGAAAGACGAGTGCGAGAGCTCTGCGGGAGGCCTTTTTGATCTGAGAAGTCGAAACTCCTTCTTTGCACATTGCCCTTTTGGAACGGACCTGAGCCCATCTCCGCTTGTCACTTTTCGCTCTCCCCTTTGGATCTGCGAGGTGTTTTTGGGCTAGCGACCACCTACGGGCGAGTGGCGGATGACAGCCCCCATGTGACACATGGAAGTGCCCCAGACGGAGTTAATGTGAACGGATGGACTCACATTGAAAGTGTTGCAGTGCAGCCCTGTGGGCCTTGTGAGCAATCACAAGATCAAGATACTGCAAGACATTACGGAAGAACAGAGGTCTTTTGATTGATCAACAGCACTCAATGTTGGATTCGAAGGCTGCAGGGGTTGGATTGGAGCAGTTGACCAAAGAAGGCTGGCTAGACTCCCTTGTACAGCACGTGCTTTGGATCTCATTTCTATCCGCATTCAGTCGACTCCTTGGTTTCCCGTCGTTTTTGTCACCCACTTTCCTAGGCATGCAGAAGTCGGGACCTATCACAGCCACTGCCCGCGACGCAGCACTGGCCTATGCTGTGATGGGGCAGGAGGTGTCAACTGGTCGGGCGTCTTTGGAACATGTTGAAGCAAGTTGGAAGGGTCCTTGAAGTCATACACTCAGGAGAAGACATGGGTTCCCTACCATAAAAAAGGAATTGACATGATCAATTGGCATCTATATAACGGTATCAGAAGAACAATGAACTGCGATAGCTCAAAGCTGTCGTTTCTCCACTGTCGATTCATGTCGATTCACAATGGAAACAGACAGACGTCAAAGCAGACGCAATGTTTTTGCATCAGAGACCGGATCAACGCATATCAACGCTGGATCGGTCCCCCTGAGGTGCCGGGGCATTTCTACTCTCAGCTCTATGGAGATCCAGGTCTCCCACCACTGCACCTCAAGGACGTCGCTGCGGCATAGCTGAGATCAGATGTGAAACGAAAAGCACAAAGGGGTGAGGTTCAGACATCAGGTGCTGGTGACACATGTGACACCACCAACACCGCCACATGAGAACAGAATTAATTAGACAAAAAGAGACCCCGTTGAAATCCTGCTAGATAATATTAGATAATGCGCGAAGATCGCTGGCTTCGTGACACCATGACAAGACGCAACGTGCTTTGTGTGGTACGTGCTACGCCGCTGCAGGACTTCTCCGAGACGCGTTCGCTGCGGGGTGTGCGGCTGGGTATCTTCTGGGACTACTTCAACGATGCAGAGGTGCCTATCCTGCAGAGCTGTCGCAAGGCGGTGGAGGCGTTGGAGGCGTTGGGCGCAGAAGTGGTGCCCATCGCCATTCCGCATCTAAGGAGTTTGCAGGTGCGGGGGGCATCTGGGGGCACGTCGCCTGCAGTGATCCAAATGTGCAGTAGTATATAGGTAGTGGTAGTGGTAGTAGTAATAGTTAATATAGTAGTAGTCGTCGTCGTCGTCGTCGTCCTAGTAGTAGTAGCAGTAGTTGTTGTTGTAGTTGTAGTTGTAGCAGTAGCAGGAGCAGCAGCAGCAGCAGGAGTAGTAGTAGTAGTAGTAGTAGTAGTTGTTGTTGTTGTTGGTGGTGGTGGTGGTGGTGTTTGTTGTTGTGGTGCATGTCCGTCTTCATGGTTTTTGTGAGCTTATACGGCTATACTTGCATGTGACAGGAGATGGAGGAAAACCCGGTGTCAGCTGTACCATCATGTGACATTACATGTGATTCTCCAACCATGTGCTACCATGCGCTGATGAGTAGCTCACAAAGATTCGCGGAGGTGGCTCATGGCTTTGTGGTATCCGTGGAGATCACTCAGATTTTAGGAGACCTCCTGTACAACAAGCACCAGTTTCTTGGCACAACCCGTCCGTTACTGACACACCTCTTACTCAAGTCACTCTTGGAGGAGGAGGACAGGGCTAGACTAGACCATCAACTGTGCTGTCAACTAGGGCCCAGGGAAGCTTCATGGGTCCTTGCTTGGGTCAATCGGAATTTCTGACCCTGTGAATTTGGGGCTTCTTGGGGGGCCTTTGTTGCTGGGGCCAATTGGGTTTGAGCCTACGGCCCAACCTCATCCACGCAAGAATGGACCAGACGAGGGGTCCAACTCTTTATGGTCCCGAATGTTCACCCTGTGTCCAACCATGTGCACAATGCCCCCGATTCCCCGGTCCTCAAAGGTTCACGTTTATGATTGATTCCACCAGGTTTCAGATTTGTCCAAATGCTTAAGACTATCGAAAATCCAGCCCACAGAGTGAGAACCGGAAGTGGATGTGTTTTCCCTTCTCCATTTCCCCATGTTTCCCTAGATGTGGCACCTGCCGTGGCTCCTGATAGCTCGTGATAGCTCCTTCAGCTTCTCAGGCTGGAGCCCTCAACTCGGATTCAGCTGGCGCTGGGCACCTCTATGGCTGGACCCGAGATCCAAGCAGGGAACATCCTGCGGGGCTGGGCGCTGCAGTACCTCCGCCAGGACGATGTGCCGGGACGGATCGGGACGGGCACTCGGTGCCCGAGTCTTGTTTGGTGGGGAGCGACGATGCCTGCTTATATACCTTAGTCTATTTTTAGTCGTAGAGGTTCCGTTTTCAATGTCAAAGTGGTGGAGTGGGAGTTGGTGACTAGAAGGACGCGACAGGAATGGAAAGCGATTTGGCACATTGTGGGAGAAGCTCCCCTAATCTGCAGCACAAGCACGGAGAGCATCCTGTTTTCACTGCAGTAGTAAGCCATTACCGGTAGGCCGGCGGATTTAGAGCCCATAAAGGGCCACACTTCATAAACACTATACAAAGTGGAAACGTTGATCTACTCAAAAGGCTTGCAGTTGTGTGGCGAAAACCTAAGGACACAATTAAACCAAGACTGGCGTTTCCTTGTAGGGTTGCCCCAGCCCTCATTTAATGCCAATGCCAATCCTTCCAACAAGCCAGGGAGAGATGCTTCCCTCACTCAATGGGCTTCCACTCCTGGTAGGAACTGGGGCTGTAGGCCGTAAAAACAAGTTATTTGCTACGCAATTGTCGCAGCTAAGCTAAGCCCCCAAAAAAGGTAACAGTGAACTGAACTGCCCGAGATGTCACCATCATTCTACTCCTCAGATTGGTCGTGGCCGGAGGTCTCTTTTTCGATTACAGAGCGGTGACAGGGTGATTGCCCCACACTTGCCCCAATGGCAGATGGGACCCAGTCCAACAGACCTATGAGACCTGATAACCACAGAAGGGAAGCCTTTGCCGTGCGCAGGAGATCTTCAAGAAGATGAAGATCTCCGCCATCATTACACCAACCTTGGCCATGACTCCGCCCGCCATCCCAAAGGATGCCTTCTTGACCGGTGAAAGTAATACCACCTTACTTATACAACTCATGAAGTACATCTTCCTGGGCAACCTTTGTGGCTTCCCAGGTCTCAGCATTCCGGTGGGCTATGACGACACCACTGGCATCCCCATCGGCCTCCATGCCTGTGCAGACCACTGGGATGAGGCGGTTCTGCTCCGCCTGGGCGAAGTTTTGGAAGGCGCCCTGGACCAGCGGAAGACGCCGCCCAGCTTCGTAGACCTCCTCGGGAAGAGCTGAGTCAGACCGGAGTTGAGTGTGGTTTTGAAGTGACACCTGTGACAGGTGGAGCAGAAGAGAAGAGGGCAAATTGAATCCGTGAGCTCCGGAAGCATTTCTGGAGGAGGATTTCTTTTGAGCAGAAGATTAGCTGCGTAGGGGAGGTCCCAGAGATGTTTTACAGAGATCTTGCTGGGGTTCACATCAGTCAGTTTCAGATGCTCTTTGTGCTCGGTTTCATACAGACCTCGGCCACTGGCGCCGCTTCTTACTCCGGATGGCGATGAGAAAGAAGATGCTTGTCGACACGGTAACCAGTCTGGGATGTGGACAGGAATGAGGACATTCATCAAAGGTGGCACGACCACGTCCTCGTCATTCCTCATCCAAAGAAACCCTGTAACATCCTGTAACAAAACCATCCGTCGTGCCATAATGATACATAATTATGCTTATCGTCCAAATCAATTCAGCCCGTCCCTGTCTTGGCCCGACTTGACATGGCAGGCGCCAGAGACTGAAATTCCACCCGTCCCGGAGAAGGACAAGAAACCACAGCAGAACCAGCAACCGGAGCAAACGGAGCAACCGCAGCAACCGCAGCTGGTGAGTTCTGGTGAAGCTGCTGGTCAGTGGGGTGGCACAGGTGGGTCAAAGAGCCGCCCAGTGGGCCGCGCTTGAATCTTTATGAAGGCCATGTGGATATCTGAAGATTTTAAGGTTGTATAACGGTTATATACGGTTATATAGATGCTCACACAGCTTGTGCTACGATAGCTTTGATCAAACGGCACTAATATATAAACATGGTACAAATGGGTTGTGTGGCTTTTGGGGGGTGGATGGGACATGCCATTTGCACTTGGTAGATGACAGCTTCTCATTGCCTGTCAGTTTGGGCAATCAGGTGAAGAGAAGAAACCGTTTGATGCAGGGTTCAGAGGGTATAGAACCTGTGGGACGTTGAACTGGATCCTTTATTTATAATTTATAACGTTATCATCCTTAGATTCTTTGGGGCAGACGGCAGGCTGCGCCACAAAAAGGCCTCGATCTACAGGGCTCTTTGCATATTCTGACATATTCCGACCGACATGGCCTGACGTTCATGTTCTGAGCTTTGCCTTCAGGACTTCAGGACATGACAACATGAATCCTCATGCGGCCCATCCCCCATCTGCACGTCGCTCCCACGGCCGAGGCCGAGTCCGACGAGTCCCGAGGAACCGATGGATCCCGAACTCGAGGAACGGCGATGTCGGCGAGCCGGCGAGTTGCACGGAAGCGAGTCCGGAGGAACCGGTGAACCGCTTGTCACGGAAGCTTCAACCTTTTCGTGGCAGCTTCAAGTATGAAGGGCTGACAATCGCCAGAGCGGGGTGCAAGAGGTAAGTATAATATGACTATAATATATAAAATGTAATGCCATGACCCTGCTGATCCCTATAGTGCGTAATGTCAAGCTATGTCATGCAGATCGGCTTGAGGAGGAAAGCGCGAACGCACCTGCCCCGCAGAACGTGCCTTCACCGCCTGGGCGCCTGTCAGCGATGGATGATGCGGCAGTGCTTGGCAAAATCTTACACAAAATGGTATACTCAGGTATACTCCTGATTCCAGCGCTGCTACTGTTGGATGGTTCATTTCAGTGCTTTTTGACGAGAGGTGGGTCGAGGTGGTGTTGGGTCTCTCGGTGTTTTTGCTGCTTTGACCGCTCCACCGACGAGCGAGGCATCGTCCCCACGCGCCGAGGCAAGAAATATCGCTGATATCGCCATCAATTCCAATCCACCAGAAAAAGGGGAAGAACAAGATTGCTCCTGAATTCATGGCGCCAACTGCCGAGCCATCGAGAGTCAAAAGGGGCGAATGTTGGCGGCCCGTGTGTGGTGAAGTACGGAGAGCACTAAATAGCACTAGTGTATGGACATACCAAGCAACCGGCGGTCATTGAAAGACAGGGCCGGCTCGAGCTCCAGACAGCTGGGCAGACTCTGTTCCGCAGGGTTTGGCTCAATTGACAGGACACATCATGGCGCAGTCCAGTGAGGAGAGGCGGTCACTAGGGAAATCGGCGGAAGCGTCCTGGGGGCGTGATTGGCGTGGAAGTGGGCCGAGGGAAAAACTGGCAAATTCATGAAAAAACAAAGTGCTGTCCGTTTGTGGTTTGGACATGTTTGGAATATATAGACGTTTGGCTAGTGGAGTAGATTCAAGCATTGAACTGTTTGAACTTAAACTTGAGAACTGAGGAGTTGAACTGAAGTAAGCCCTCGTGACATACAGCTGGTGTTGATGACCAAACAGGGTGTGGAGAGGGTCTGAGCCGGGTCCCGGAGATTCAGCAGAAAGGGCCGTGTTGAGCTTCATATCGTTGGGATCGTTGGACAGTCCTGAGCTCACCTACTGCAGTCACAATATTTCACAATTGAATATAATTGAAAGGGGCCAGGGAAGGATCAGGAGTAGGGGTAGCGATGGCCTCCAACCTAAGAGCAATAGTCAACTTGCCAAAAGTTCCGTCGCTGATCTTCGCCGTGTCAAAGGACCGTTGCCACACTGACAACCAGGCTTCTGGTGTAAAGGAGCGGTACAGTGCAATCATTTATGGCTACGCACTCGTGCACCAAGTTGGACAAACACCATGGTCGCCTCCACGTCATCGTGTGGGCAGATTCTTCCACGCGGCAAGTTCAACCTTTTTCTTCAGCGCCCACTCCGTGCCGGAAAATTATTGTCATTAGGGAGCCAGACCCATCATTTGTTCCCAGAGCCACCGCAATATCACAAGTGTCGTCGCCACAGCCTCGTCAGCGTACAGATATTTCACCATAGCAACGGCAGAAGATCTCCCCAGCGTGCAGCAGACTTATTGGCTCATCTAGAGGGGGAAGGTGCGAATCCAACGTAGCGCACCTGTTGTGAGCTACCCCAGGGTAGAATTTAGACAATTTAGGGGAGGAAGATGCGATTCCAAAGTAGCGCGCCTTTTGTGAGCCGCCCGAGGGTAAAATCTAGAGGAAGAGGAAATGCCATGCCAATGTAGCGCAGCTTTCGTGAGCCACCTGGTCTTTCCAGCGGTTGTCCCTCTTCCCCGTCGTTGAATGAGAACAGTGATCTAGCTCGCATCACCTGTGAGAGGAGGAATTCGATCCCCTTTTGGCATCGAACAAAACCGTAATATGGCGAAATGTGTTTTAAACGTGTTGACAAAACGTCTCCCACCTAGTAGCGATGGCCTCCAGCCTAGTAGCGACGGCAACTAGGGCAAGAACAGCAATGTGGACATGTGACTTACTGTTGGAGAACCCATTGTTGCACAGCAAAAAGCACCAGGCTTCCCACCGTGTAATGTGATTCAGGTCTTTGGCTAAAGGGAACTGTTGTTGAAATTGAAATGATGGCCATTGACTTGTTTAGGGTTGACGGGCGGAGAAGATCCTCCACCACCCTAGAAAATTGTCGGGGCACTCAACCTACAGCATTCGGAGCCTGGATGCAGAGAACAGCATCGCACAGGAGACGCAGGTGACGCAGGAGGCGCAGGACCCCAAGCCCCAGCGATGCGCGCTCAAGACGAGGTGGGGGTCGTTCAAGTTCACAAGTTGAGGGAAGAGATGGAAGGAACTCAAGTCAAAGCTGAAGAATTTCCCGAGAAGTCGTGCACTCACGTGGGCTGAGCTATTAGAATGTCATAAGAATTCCATGAGAGATCAAGTGTTTCGAGTGGTCGGTGCTAGTTCTCCGAGGTGTAGTGTTAGATGATTCCGGCAAGGCATTGTTTTGCTGTTGTGGGTGAGGGGTCTTGATAACTGCCCATGTGTCATTCATGCACCCAGATTCCTGCAGGAGAATGTTGTTTTTTGCATCAATTCTCCACCTCAATTATATAAACAAGATCAACTCACCCATGAGTAGGTTCTATTTGGCAACCGCTCTCCGCCGGGGCCGCAACAGTCCTCATCTTGCCACCTCAGGCTGGGTCATCAGCTTCCTCACCGAGTCTTCTTGGACAACTGGCAGTCCGGACTTACCGTGGCGATGGCCCCCTGGCGTGGACTAGCCGAAGCGAAGCAATTGGTGGCCGTTCAAGTGAGTGTTATACTTTGTGCGTTCCGCTGTGTTCACGTGAATGGTGGGGACATGTTGGGTAAAAGTGGGGACAGGGTCGGTCGAGGCGATGATGTAGGGGTCAAATGTGTACAGTATGGTGATGTTGCCTTGCGTTATATCAAAGCTGGACCAATAGGTGTTAAAAGTTAAAAGACCTACAATCCATAGCTGGCCTTCCAACATCCACCAGTTCTTTCTCTTTGTGGCTGTGAATGCAACAGAACAAAATGAACAACAATGACCTTTTCCTTTGCCACATGCTTCCCCATCTCATCAGATGCCCAGGTGAGTGTCCCCTTGTCCATCTCCTTGGGTATCGCCTCCGCCGGCGGCGACCCGAGCGCACCTTTGATGGGCTCCATGGCGTCGATGTGAATGCAGGGTGGGTGGGTGGGTGCCATGCCGCGAGGAATCAGCTCCAGTATATATAAATGTTAAACAACATAATTGACGCAGCTCCTGCAAGCACTGTTAGTTTGATGCTGGACTTTCTCCTACAATGATCTCCAAGACGATGCTGGCATTCTGATTCAAACAACGATTATATAGCCGTCTTGTGGGATGCCTTACAGGTTTGAGAATGGATGAGAGAGACCAAAGACACACAACCTGTCGTGGTGTTCATGTGGCATGGCTTTTTGGTTCTCACCTGAGACTGTAGTCAACTGAAATCAAACCCATTCCAGGAAACCGGGGTCGGTGATGATTGGGCAGATGCAGTAAGGGTCGTGCCGCAATAACGGTAGCAGACCCATTTCAACACTGCTTGCAGTATGGACGACGGATGCTTGTGGAGGATGGAGGGCATTCAAGGTGATGAGGTCCTCTACCACCTTATAGACCATTTAAGAATGACCGAAGAGGGGGGATTCACTTCGTCGTTCCGCTGTTTCAGGCGTTTCCACGGCCTTTTGGGGCGGCCTTTGCGCTTCGATCTTCAGCTCCAGCGACTTCAACATCATTGGCCCAGCGGGAGACCCGGCGACGGCGAGCGTTCGCGAGCATGTGCGGGGATGCTGCCGCATGCGGGGAGCGAGCATGCGGTAGCATGCGGAACGTGTTCGTCTTGGGGAGTCGTCCGGATGCTGGGACGGTGAGAGAGGTCCGTGTTGTGTGTTATTTTTTGTGTGTGTGTGCCACAGGCTACCGCCTGCAGCCGCCGACCCCAAGGGATGGTCGCGGCCGGGGCCCTGCCAGTGGAATTGTTTTTTCATAGAATTGGTTACGTTTTCCGCTGGATTTGTAGGATGTCAAAGGTTTTTGCAGCATTTACTTAGGAATGCTCTTGCTTTTTGCTAGAGCCTGTCACGTTTTCTGCTGGATTTGTAGGAGTTTCAAAGGCTTTTCCATCATTTCCTCTGGTTTATTTGGGTATCTGTACAGGCATCGTGTCGGTTTTTGGGTTCCCAGGTTTGCCCAGAAAATTGCTAACCCATTTTCGTACTCATGCCTTTCATGCGCTTTACAAAGTCCTGCCAGTGCCCGTGGTTTGTCCTAGATGTTGTAACGTCAAAGGCTTTGCTCAGATTTACACATGCCTGTCAGGCGCCCGTTTCCACGCCATTTGGCGTGTTGGTTCTAGGATGGAGCAGTGCAAACGGAAGCTTGGGCAGGTGATAGGAAATCTTTAGAGACACGATATGTTCCTGCAACACCCAGGGAGCAGGAATAACGCTGTCCAGCGGAAAACGTTTGCAAATGGGGGAAAATAGGTCAGCTGCTTTCTTTACAGATATGGGAAAGAAAGACCCAAGGCGGAAAACATTACAAGGCGTCTGAAAATCCTACCAAACCAGCGGAAAACGTTACAAAATCTAGCACAGACCATAGGCGCTAGCAGGAACCCG